AATATAAGCAAATGCTAAAATTTTCTACTAAAAAAAAAAAGAGAGTATTTATTGTTGTATATATGAGTATGATCTGTCATATTTCAAAGTTATAGCCATCAGAGCGTAAGATGCACTAATTAAATTGCAAAGATTTCTTTGCTCAAGTTAATAGTGAGTTCAAAACCATCTCTGAAATCAATTAAGTTTAATTTTTTTTTTTATTAAAAGCTGCCTTTGAAATCATATTTCTTGACAATGTTGGTAATCTTTTGTACCTAAAAGACACAAAATGATTAATAGAGGCATAAATTGAAAAGAAGCCAAAAGTAGAGGTTAAATAGTAAATTTTGAATATTCACCTCAATTTCTAAGTTCAAATACACGATGGAGTGACTAAATTACATGGATGAAATTAGAGTATAACCAAATGGTTTAAGTAGAAAAGAATTGTGTATCAATTTTAATAATTCAGATACATTATGAACCTAAGCAAATTTATAAATCACTTGCAAATTTGCTACTTAAAGGGGAAATATTGGTTTTTAACATATATTTAAGTAAGAAAAAAAAAGAAATTATAAATTTTTTTATAATAGATAAAATCATTATGGGATTGCTTTTCTCCATATTGAGAAGCCAAGTCTTTACTATTATGTTGTCATTGCAGTTTAGCATGAAGTAATATGCAAGGATGATCACGTGACACCTTAACAATAACCACGTGAGAAAAAAAAAAAAAAAAGTCTTTTACAGCTATGAATTAGTGAAAAGTAAAATTAAATCAAATCAGACCAAATAAAGTTTTAGTTAGGACGAATCTAACTAATTAAAAGATAAAAAGATAACAAAGTTTTTGAATGCAAATATGATATTATTGGAAAATGCTTAAAATCAATAGAAGCATATAAGCAAGAGGGTAATGTTAGGATATAAAGCTTCAAAATTGAAAACTCAATATATTCAATGCTTGTGTTCGATGAGTGGATGTTAAAAGAAGATAGAAGTAAAATTTTCAAAATTAAAATTTCATTCCCTCTTCACCTTTATATATAAACTAGGTGGAAACTCACGCGTCACTTGGGCTGTTTTATTATTTTGTTATTATACATTGCGTTATAGGTTACTTTTTTTTTTGTGTGTATATATTATAATTGTATGAATTACTTGATTTGTATTTCTGTATCTCTTGTATGTATAGATTACAATAGATAAGCTCTAGCTATTCAAATACATATTTAAAAACATAAAAAGCTGTAAGTTAGTTACATATCCTTATCACGCCCCCACAAACATAATCCTTATACGCCCCCACAATTCTACCGTCGCGAAGGAGGGTCGAATTGTTAGTTTTTTCTTTTGGAAAACCTCAATGCTGCGTTTTTGAAACAAGGCCCTTAGTCAAGACAATCGGCGATTTGAATCTTTTCTTTACTGGAGAGATACTTAACTTGAATTTGCTTCTTACTAACTTTGTCACGTACGAAGTGATAATCCACCTCAATATGCTTCATGCGAGAATGAAACACCGGGTTTGCCGAAAGATACGTAGCTCCTATGTTATCACACCAAATTGTTGGTGGAGACGGATTTGGCAGACCAATCTCATGAATCAAACAAAGTAACCAAGTGATTTCAGCGGTAACAGTCCCAAGTGCTCTGTACTCCGCTTCCGTAGAAGACCTTGCAACCGTCTTTTGCTTCTTAATTGCCCAAGAAATCAAATTTGTACCCATATATACTGCCATTCCAGAGATTGATTTGCGGCGATCGATAACATCAGAAGTCCACGTAGCATCAGTATAGGCATGTATATGAAAATGTGAGCTACGTGTAATGTGCAACCCGTGGTCTTTTGTTTGCTGCAAATATCTGAGAATTCTTTTTACTGCACACCAGTGTTTGATACTCGGACAATGAACAAACTGAGATAAATGGTGAACCGAGAAAGATACATCAGGCCTTGTAAGAGACAAATACTGCAGTGCACCAATGATGACCTGAAATAAATTTGAATCCTCAGCAGAAAGAGATGAATTATCTTGAACATTCTCAGTGATAGCGGCTGGAGTGGATAATCCTTTACAATCATGCATATTGGCTCGCTTCAATACTTCTGTTATATATTTAGTCTGCGTTAAAATTAAACCATGTTTCATTGGTTTTACCTCAATTCCCAGGAAGTTACCTCAATTCCCAGGAAGTTCAATTCCCAGGAAGTAGTCAAGAGCTCCCATATCACGAAGTGAAAATTCCTATTTCAAAGAAGAAATAATAGAATCCAACCTTGTATTACTACTCCCTGTTAAGATGATATCGTCAACGTAGACTAAACATAACACATGATATCCATTATGCTTGTAATAAAACAAAGAGGCATCAGCCGCTGAACTCTGAAAACCCAAATTTGTTAAAGCTTGAGCAAGTCGTTTATGCCACTGCCGTGGTGATTGTCGCAAACCATATAACGATCTCCTTAATTTGTAGACATAATCTGGTTTATCTTTATCTATAAACCTAGATGGCTGAACCATATAAACATCATGCTCCAAATCACCATGAAGGAACGCGTTACTGACATCCAGTTGGGAGATGCGCCAATTTTTAGAAACAGCATAAGAAAGTACAAGCCGAATTGTAAGAAAGTACAAGCCGAATTGTCGTTGGCTTGACAACCGGAGAAAATGTGTCAGTAAAATCAATTCCAAGCCGTTGCGTGTACCCTTTCGTAACTAGGCGTGCCTTGTACCAGTCAAGAGTGCCATTTGCCTTTGTTTTCACACGAAAAACCCATTTGCTCCCAATTAAATTTTCAATGCCAACTCGCGGAACAAGCTCCCAGGTTCCATTTCGAACTAGAGCATTAAATTCTTCCTCCATTGCATGTCTCCAATTTGGATCAGAAACTGCTTTAGTAAAACACGAGGGCACCTCCACACTTGTTGAATAATTACGTGGTTTCAAGCTCCCCGTCTGACTTCGAGTAACCATTGGGTGCGTACGAACTGAAGGCATCAATGAAGCAGTTTGTTGAACAACAGTAGCAGGAACCTCAACAGCCACAGGTTTGGCAACCTCAAAATTTGATTGGGGAATCACAGCCAAAGGCTGAGGAGATACAGGCTGCGTCAACTCTGTGGTTGGTTGTATTGGAACTTGACCAAGAATCCCAGGAGATGAAGTTGGTGGCGACGGTAGATAAATGGGAGTCATGTCTGATTGCGTGTGAACCATGGGGCTGTCTACCATTGGATCTGCAAATGGAAACACCTGTTCAAAGAAAGAAACATGGTGTGAGATAAATATTTTCTTGGTTGTAGGTTCCAAGCAGATATAACCCTTATGCTTCTTACTATAACCCATGAAAACACATCTTTTTGACTTAGGATCCAATTTATGCTGAGAATATGGCTGTAACCACGGGTAACATAAACATCCAAATGTACGAAGCCAATTATAATCGGGTTTTATGTTGAACAATACTTCATATGGTATTTGGTTTGTTGTAGATGGCAGCCTATTAATAACATAAACAGCTGTGTCAAATGCGTATGTCCAATATTGGTATGGAATATGAGCATGATGCAATAAGGCTCTGCCAATTTCAACAATATGCCTGTGCTTCCTCTGCCAATTTCAACAATATGCCTGTGCTTCCGTTTAGCACACCCGTTCTGTTCAGGAGTGTATGGACAAGACACTCTTTGTGAAATACCATGACTAGCCAAATACTTCTGCATTGCTTGGAACTCGCCTCCCTAATCTGCTTGAAAACTTTTAATAGGCAACTGAAAATATTTCTCAACAAGAGTACGAAACTGAATAAATACAGGCAACACATCTGATTTATTGCGCAAGAAATAAACCCAAGAGTATTTACTATAGTGGTCAAAGAAAACAACATAATAACGAAATCCATCTATTGATTGAACCGGGGAAGGTCCCCAAACATCGGAACAAATGAGTTCAAGAGGCTGACTAGCCAAACTAGAAGAATTTGAAAAAGGCAACTTATGCGTTTTGCTAACACAACACGCATGACACAACACGCATGTTTGCTAACACAACACGCATGACAAGGCAACATAGAATTTTTATTAGACACTTGAATATTATTGAAAGACAAAACTTGGGTAACAGCACGATCATGAGCATGAGCAAAGCGAGCATGCCAAACTGGAAACTCAACCACATTAACTTCAGGTTTGAACTTGGAAAGAGGCATGGTATATAAACCATTCTTACTCTGGCCACGAAACAGGACCCATCTCGTGTGGATGTCCTTTATAAGAAAATAACCAAGAAAAAATTCAACAGAGACTGCATTAGTATTAGTCAAAGCAGAAACAGATAAAAGATTACGATGAACATGAGGAGAACAAAGAATATTAGATAGATAAAGTCGCAAATCTTTAGCAGAAACATAAGAATTGCCAACAACAGAAATAGGAATTTCATTACCATCTCCAATTGTGATATTATCAGTGCCAGAATAGGGAGCCAAGTTGTCGATGTTTCCAGGTTGTGCAGTCAAATGGTAGTTAGCCCCAGAATCCACAGTCCACTGTTGAGGTTGCAATGAAGATTGAACAGCAGCAACATGAGTATCATGAGTTATTTGGTGCGAAAAACAGAAACCAGAATTAGTCTTGGGTGATGGACACTGCCTCGAAAGATGCCCAGAGCCTCCACAGTTATAGCACGTAAACTGATTGGAGGAACCGAAATTAGTGTGCCTTCCACGACCCCTGCTCTGCCATAAAACCCCAGGGTGATGGACACTGCCTCGAAAGATGCCCAGAGCCTCCACAGTTATAGCACGTAACTGATTGAGAACCAGAATTAGTGTGCCTTCCACGACCCCTGCCTCTGCCATAAAAACCAGAAGAATGCCGTGAAGATGTGGTAGAATTAGAATTCTGGAAATTATTTCCAGATTTGAAAGTGGACTGCCGATTTGCAAACTGAACAGTAGGAGACATGGCAGAAGTGATAGAAAGCTTATGCATATTAAGTTGCATTTTCTCACTCAACATCAACGCATAAAGATCATCATAACTAATGGGATAATTTCGAGCCTCAATTGAACGGGAAAAGGGTCGGAAATCTTCACCCAATCCCTCAAGAATATCAGTGATCAGATCCTCGTCAGAAATAGGAGAACCCAGAGCTGCTAGTTGATTAGAGATATCTCTTGCTCGACGCATGTATTCATCAACAGAATCAGTTCCTTTTTCCAATCACCGGAGCTGTTTGCGGAGCTGCTGTACTTTGGTACGGGACCTAGTTGAATAAATGGTGGCGAGTTTGTCCCAAGCTGCTTTCGCCGTTTTGATGCCAACGACTTGGGAAAGGATTTGTTCAGAAAGAGAATTCCGAATCCAGCTTAAAACAATATGATCTTGCTGGAACCAAATTCGATACTTGGGATTGGGAGCATTATTTAGCAATTCCGGTGGTGGATTAGGATTATCAGAAACGTGGTCAGCCAGATTATAGCCATTAAGGAGAGGCTCAAGCTAGCTCTTCCACAAAAGGTAATTGGCAGAGGTTAGCTTTAATGTAAGAAATTGAGAGACATTAGGAACAGAGAAAGACTCAGAATTTTCGGCCATTGGTATTAAACCTTAGAAGGCTCTGATACCATATAATTGTATGAATTACTTGATTTGTATTTCTGTATCTCTTGTATATATAGATTACAATAGATAAGCTCTAGCTATTCAAATACATATTCAAAAATAGAAACAGCTGTAAGTTAGTTTCATATCCTTATCATATATATACATAGCACAAATGCATATAATACAAAAGTCCTAGACAATAAGTACTAGTTAAGTTGTTTTTGCAAAATTATACATTTGAAAGACAAACAGAAAAATTTCATCCATAAACACAATAATAAAGATATATAGACGTCAACATAAATAATTATCATAAAGTAAATTGACACAAAATATTTAAACAATCCAATCTAAAATTATAAAAAATTAAAAATTAAAATATAAATATAGTTAATTATTTTAAATAAGTAATAATTCTTAAAATTAAAAAAGCATCTTAAGTGGTCTAATAGAAAAAGAAAAAATAAATTTCAACATTGAAATATAGATATAGATAATTATTGTAAATGAATTTTAATTTTTAAAATAATTATTACATATAATTCTTTAATATTTAGATAATAAAATTAAAATTTCAATGATAAAAATATTACTTCAACTATAATAAGGCATTTAAAAATTTTTATATTTATTTTTAAATATTTGATTTCATTTTTATTATAATCTAAAATATTATATTTAGAAGAGAGATAAAAAAGTATATATTTTTTTAAAATATTCTTTTTTTTCTTTATATTTGTAAGATTTGATTGGATATATTTTTTAAAAAATAAAATTTCAAATAGAATGTACATACTATTTTATTTATGAGTTATAAAAAAAGAAAAAAGTGTTATGAAATAAGTGGATGTCCTATATAGGCTAGAAATCTGTATTCTTAACTACTATGAACTGTATCTTCCTAATTTGTGTAGGACTCTATTAAGTTCTACTTATGTAACTATATATATATATGTAGCTTCTCATCGATAATAAATATACTTTCGTATTTCTCATATTTTGCTATCTATTCCTTCTCTTTCTTCTCTCTAGTTTTATATATTTTATAATACGTTATCAGCACGATTGTTCTACCGTGATTATTTAATAGGAGGATCTGTGGTTTACGATAATCAAAGTTAAGTTGCTCAAAGAGAGAATAATTTTTGTTTGACTAAAATTATCAAAGGTATGTTTATTTTCGTACAAATATAATTAATATAACTATTATTTATATACGAAATATATAACCATAAAACCTAGTTGATATATGGTTTGTAATAGATTGAATTTGTTCCATAAACTTTATGTTTTATCCCACGTCCACTTATCTGTGAATAATAGTTCAGAATCATAAAACCTCATCTGGACGTCCATTGAAATAAGGTTTGATTTGTTTGAGATAAACTAAAATTTTTATGATCTGTTATATGCTATATATTTATTATATTATTATTATATTTAACACTTGTGCAATTCCTATATGACTTGTAATTTTCAATTTTTGTACGGTGCAGTTTTCTGACCTTAACATAATTGATATATATGTTTACAACTAAGTTGAAGAAGAAAAAATTGATTTTTGATAGTTGACATGAATATGTTAATTGATGTCCAGTTTAGCAATATTGTATATCCATATTTAAGATGTTGTGCAAGAATTATTGCCTTTTTATTTTATGAATTAATTAATTTATTTGTTAATTAATTATAATAATAATATTATTCTTGCTATATTTAGATCTTAAGTTTTTAATTGCCAATAAGATCTACTATTATTCAATTATTTATTTTTAAATTCTTTGTTATGATTTTATTGTCTAATATAACTATTTTGTTTTATAATAGTTATTTTCATGATACTAAATCTTATAGATCTTGAATTTATAGCCTTAATATTATGACACAGCTTATTCATTATGAGGTATTAGATGCTATGTGTCTTTGAAGACACAAGGATAAAAAATCAAGAATCTAATTGAAATAGTTCCAAGACAATAATTTTCTCTATTGAACATTTAATAATTAAATATTAGTTTGTTTTATTTGGAATGCTTTGAAAGAAAGTAGAATTACCAAAGACTCATCATGAATAGATGCATTTATTGATGTAAAGCTTGCAAAACTGTAAGTTATTTTAGTTTTGCAATCTTAACGTTATTGTCTTATTATTATTATTATTAGTGCTATACATTGGCTATATTATCCATGTAATACAAAAATTGAGAATTGGTTGATTTATTTCTTAAATATATTTAAGATATTATTGTTATTATGTTTGGAGCTTATATTAGCTCTTATCTAAAATTGTTAACGATATTTATACCTCAAATATGCTCCTAAAGTAGCAATATCGAGAGAAAAAGTTTTATTATAAACTTTGGATTTATTTCATGTCATTTTATTATTGAGTAAAAAGTTTTATTATAAATTTTGGATTTATTTCATGTCATTTTATTATTGAGTAAAAAGTTTTATTATAAATTTTGGATTTATTTCATGTCATTTTATTATTGAGTAAAAAGTTTTATTATAAATTTTGGATTTATTTCATGTCATTTTATTATTATGTCATTTTATTATTGAGTAAAGTATTGAGCTCCTAATTAATATCACGAAGCTTGTCCAATTAGATTTTCTCCATTTCCCGAAGTGAATGGAATGACACATAATACTGAACATGAAAGTAGTGAAATCCACCCAACTAGATTTGACACATTCCCTAAGTGAATGCAATAATATATGACATTGAGTGTGGCCATGAAAAATGAAAAGGTATACTTGAAATAATGATCTAAGCAATATTGGTGGCCACATAATTAAGAATAAAATTTACCACCATAAGTGGTACAAATAATGTGGCATATATGGATATTAGTTATGTATTTATTGTACTCCAAAATATTGAAAGACAAATTTGGTTTTGGTAGTAAAAGAGTATTTAGAAGCTCTAGAAGAGCAAGTATTACTACATAGAAGAATGAATTTTATGCATGATGCATCATTCCAAAGATATTCATCAAAATAGATATCATATAGAGATAATGATTGAAATAAATATTATTGTAAACCGGAAGTTTACAAATCTAAGTATTTTATTATTTGGCATGATCGATTGGACCATCCCGATCAATAATGATGCGAAAAGGAAAATTTAATCCTTATATGGATATTTATTAAGAAGGAAAAGTTTCTTCAACTATAATGAATTTTTCATGTTTAGTTTGTTTTCAAATTAAATTAATTATTGAACAATCACCAAGTAGAGTTTAAAAGAACTGCTTGCATTTTCTAGAATATATAAAAGGAAATCATTAATCAATTCATCCATCATGTGGATTACTTAGATATTTTGTGGATGCATCCAAAAGATAGTTATATGATTATTATTAACTTGCAACCTGAAGTTTGCAAAGATTATTGTTAGCATGCAACTTGAAGTTTGCATGATTATTTGTGCAAATAATTTGATTAAGAATACAATTTCAGATTATGCTATTAAGACAATTTATCTTGAAAATGATGGCGAATTTACACGTCGACCTTTAATGATTATGACATGTGTTAATTGAAATAATTTAGGCAACCTTTTGTTACTTTTATTTATGCTCAAAATGATTTAGTAGAATCATTTGTTAAATGATTGCAATTAATTGTAAGACAATTATTATGAGAACAAAACTTTCTATTCTTGTAGAGCAGCATGCTATTATATGCCGGAGCCCTTACTCGCATCAGGCTAATAAGTTATTATAAATTCTCCCATTTATAATTAGTTTTGGATTAGGAATCAAATATTACCCATCCAGGAATTTTTGAATGTATGGTGTATGTTCTAATTGCTCCACTACAATGCACTATGATGGGTCTTTAAAAGAGGTTGAAAAATATATCGGGTATAAATTTACATCTATCTATCTATCTATCTAGAACTTTCAAAATAAGAGAGTTATTTATAGCCAAATTTGCAAATTGTTATGGATACCGATATTAAGGAGCGAAAATAAGTAGCTAGAAGTATAAATTAGTTGAAAATGAATTATAATTATTATTTCTTGATCCTCATGTAAGACAGTGTACATTTAAAAGTTTAAAAGATAATTCATTTACAAAATATTATAAATTAATTGCCAAATATATACTGATCCACATGAGATAACTAAATCTCAAATACTAGCTGCAAATGCTCCTATTAGAATTGAAGTCCTTTAAGAACAAACTGTCTATGCTAATGAATCTATGACATGCCTGAAGCATGGTAGATCAGTTCAAAAGATGAAAAAAATAAAAGAAAATGGGCAAATATTCAAGATGGTTAAGTTCTAGAAAAGTAAAATCTAGACGAGATCCTAGACGTGATTAATAAATTTTTCAAAGGAACTCAGGTACCTAAAATGAATGAAAATTATGAGATCTCTATAAATTATATCATGCTATGATAAGATGGAACCAATATAAAAAAAATGTTGACAATATTTTTATGATATAGCGCTGAATTTTTTAAAGATTATGAGGATCTTGAGAATTGTCTATTGAGAATATATATATAGAATTGA